AGGCAGGGGGGTGGCAGGGGGTCACGTGGAGGTGGGGTGCTCATGGGGGCATGGGCTGCCTGCGGAGTGAGGGGGAGGAGGGTGGCACATGCTGCAGAGCTTGCCAGGTTGACGGCTGCCCCTACAGTGCTCCACATGGAGCCGAGCCCTGCCCAGGGTAGCCTATGCCATTCTCCTGCCCAAACCCTCTGGCCCTGGCCCAGGCCACAGCCAGTACACAGCTTCTGGTGGGGCTGTTCAAAGTGCAGCTATAGCTGGTCAGGCTCATATTGTCACTGGGAGGTGAGGGGAGCACATCAATACCCAGCCAGCTGCAGCCACACCAGGAATAGCCCCACTGAAAGCTGCACGCTGGCCGGGGCCCAGGCCGGTAGGGCTGTTCTGTTCCCATTGCCTCCAACTGCAGCTGCGGCTGCTCCTGCTCCTGCCCCTGCTACACTGCTGCTCCGGGTGGTGGGAAGTTTCTGCTGTACAGCTCCTGCCCAGTGCCTGGAGCCCTGGCTCCAGGCCTCTACACCTGCTCCGCCCACCCACACGTGTCTACTTGTTGTGCCGGAAAGGCAGAGCAGGTAGAGGGCAGCTAGGATCTACAGCCAGAGCTCCATGTGCTGGGCAGGAGAGCCACCTGGCTATAGCTACCTGCCCACCCTCCTAGAGCTGCATGGCAAGAGCAGGAGCAACAGCTGTAGCTACAGCCAGAGGCAAAGGGAGCAGAACAGCCCCATGGTCCAGGCCCCAGCCAGCATCCATATTCTGGTGAGGCTATTCCAAGTGTAGCTGCAGCCAGCCAGGTGCTGCTGTGCTCCCTTTACCTCCAGTGGCAGCTCCTCCTCCCACTCCTGCCCCTTTGGCGGGGAAGCTTCAGCTTGGTGGCTGCCACTGGAATTGAGGGGAGCAGAGGAGCATCCTGTTGGCTGCGGCTATACTGGAAACAGCCCCACCAGAAGCAGTGTGCTAGCTGGAGCCTGGGCCGGTGGGAGCAGGTGGGGCTTGGCCCTATGGGGAGCACTGTGAGGGTAGCCACAGGCTGGATCCAATCATCTGGCAGGCTGGATCTGGCCCACAGGCTGTATTTTACCCATTCCTACTTTAAAACATCATAGTGTCTCCCTTTTTGCTCCGTTCATTCTTCCTTCCTTTTTCCCTGTAAAATTTGGCCAGTGAAAATCAGTTGCATCAATTTCACTCAGTTTTATAATTCAGTCTATTTCAGATTCTTAGGACTGCACTGTTTAGGTTTCAAACATTTCAGAAAATATGTTGGGAGGGAGGGGCAGTTTACATTGGAAATAGCTCTACTTTTTAAATTCTATTTTTACACTTTTTATACAGTCCTGTGTTGCATTATATAACCAGTTTGTGATAACCCTAATGACTCTGAGTAGTACCTTATTTTGTAAATTGCCCTT